TACAACTAAAATGTGCTTTATTGTTCTCAGTGGCATCTACGCTAATATTAAACTGTCTCATTCTTATTCCGAGTTCACCGTAGCCACCCAGATCCAGTCTCTATCCAGATCAGATGGTGGATCAGCACCTAGAGATGACCTTGACATTCCTGAATGTTAGAGGAGACCAGGACAACTAGATGAGCCCCAGAGACAGATGAGACAGCCTCCTAGACGGCCATCGGGACAAGACCACAGGAACCAGACCAGTCCTCTGCACAATCTGACTTTGCTGCAGCCTGCAATTAAACTGCTGGTTTCGTCTGGCCAGAGAAGAACGAAGGAGTTTTGGTTCCTTCAACACACGATTTTCTGTTTAATACTGTAAAGCTGCTTTGACACAATCTGTTTTGTAAAAAGCGCTATATAAATACAGAGACTGGAGTTTACTTGACTCGGTTCAGTTGAACTGTAACACCAGGTTCATTTATTTTTTCTGACTTCTGCCTCATTTTAAAGATGTAATTGTGAACAGTAGTAATATTTGTAAATGCTTGTTTGCAAACCTTTTGTTTAACTGTAGTCTTTTTTAAGTTCATTAAACACATTTTTTAAATACATTTTGCAGTTGTATTATGTAATGTTTGACAACTGGAGCACTTTAAAGGGATAGTTCACCCAAAAATGGAAATTTGCTGTTATTTTACTGACCCTCAGGTCATCCCAGATGTCAGTGACTTTTTTCTTCAGTAGAAAAGTAAAGAAGATTTTTATCTAAAACAGTGATTCTTGGTTATTCATAAACTGCCGGTTTTTGATTGTTTAGCTTCATAAGACCTCAATGTGTCCTCAGGAGCGTTTGGTAATTTGGTCTTGTCTGTACATGTTTATTTAACTCTCAAAAGCCGGCAGCCAGAGACGTGCAGTTTATGAATTACCAAAGACAATGGTTTCACCTAAAAATCTCCTTTACTGTTCAATTGAAGAAAAAACGTTAACCACATCTTGGATGGCTTGAGGGTGAGTCAATTAACAGCAAATTTTCATTTCTGGGTAAACTATCCTTTTAAGCCTGCATGTTTAGTCTGTATGACAAATGTTATAAATGCAGATTGTTATTAAATAAAGGCTATTATGTGTTGTAATGTGTGTGTTTTAGTGATTGATAGACATAGTAATATTTGTACATGCTTGTTTGCAAACCTTTTGTTTAACTGTAGTCTTTTTTAAGTTCATTAAACACATTTTTTAAATACATTTTGCAGTTGTATTATGTTGTAGTTGAATGGACTACAAAACCATTTCAGTAAAGATTGAGCCAACTAAAAAAATAACAATTCAGGCAACACTTTGAAGACAGAAATTG